TATATTTAACTATATATATCTATAAATATAGATTAAAATATTGACGCACGAAGATACAGACAGACATATTTGCATATTAATATATACGTTTGTCGATGTATTTCTACGGGTTGTAAACTTTTCATCCCTTCGTGTGACGCACTATTATCGCGTGATGAGGAACCACACATGCCTGCATGCATGTATACCTCTTTTATTGTTCTGGATCGTGATGTACGTACACTTGTGTGTGGTTCTTTTACGCTATTCTACCACTGTAAAAAGCGATGATATAGTTACGGCATCGGGAGTGGACGAAAAATTGTGTTAGTGCAAGGTGCTTGTTCCGTGATGTTTTTACTGAGCTGCAGAGCATTTGGTTTATACTGTTCCGCTATTGCGAGTATTTCCTATTATGAAGCTAACGGCTATGTTGCCTAGTCACCAACATATTTCAAGCATACTACATATTACATGGGAGACAGGAGCAGCGACATTCCAGCTCTGAGCTGGAATGCAGTCTCCCTTGTTTTGACTGTTTGACGTGTTGTAGTCCGAAAGTGTCTCAGTTATACAGTTCTTTTGACAACGATATTTGATTTCAGTCTTTAATCGTTGAGATAGTGCTTTTTGCGGTGTTTGTAACGCATTATCTATATGCTGATGATGAATCATATTACTTCATTGCAGAAAGAGACGACCAATTTTGAGGCTTGTCGAGACTTGAATGGTCAACGACTACGAAACGTGCACGACCAAGAAACCATGGTGGACTTTTTGAAGAAGACTGAAGAGCGGGAAAAGGAACGGGAAGAGTTAAAGAAGAAGAAGCAAGAACAGCTCACGCGGGGGCCACTACATGCATTTGATCACCAGGCACACGGGACTGAGGTACGATTGATTCTTACTGTATTGCAGGCCATATTCGCTAGCGATTGGGCGAGTTGACGATAGCTAGCAGCGTGTACACGGCTGGATGGCCAGCGTGATATTTGGTCTAGCAATCTCATATAATCTAGTACAATTTGCGCCCGTGGTACGGATTTTGTATATCTTTGTACTCTCTGGAGCCTCAGGCAATATTGAAGGGTTCTCATTCTATCTTTGTGCAATCAATTCGTAGGTGCGAGACGCTAAGGAGAAAGTCAACGAGGCCTTGAATGAAGCGCTGAAGAAGAGGAAGTTCGAAGGCGACGAGGTTAGTTTTTGTGCCGGTGTTATGTTTCGGTAAAGTATTGAGTATTTTAGCATTTTGATAGTTTAGTTTGCTATTCATAACGTCCCTGTTGGATGGTATGAAGTGCCTGAGTATCATGCAGGTTTGACTTCCGTTGTGCAACCTCTAGGAATTGGTAGGCTCGGCCGGCCAGCGAAGGCCGCCTATTGGTGACGTTTTGTGAAAGTGCCAAGTGTATACATTTCTGGCAAAATCGATATATTTGCATCTTTGTGGAAGTGGTAGTCTCCAGTTTTTCTGACATCAATGACGTGCTTGTATTTCATAGGAGGCTACCGCATCGAAGAAGGTGAAAGCCAAGAAACTCAAGATCTGGGGGGACGATGACGACCTCAGCGGCAGCGATAGCGATAGTGATAGCGGCAGTGATGGCGAAAAGGACGAGAAAGCCGCGAGTTTAGTCACTACGACAACGTCGAGTACTTCTACTACCGCAACGTCAAAGCAAACCTCGCTTACGGCGGTTGAGGGCTGAGCTTGCGAGAGATTGAAAAAGAAAGAATTATATATATCCACAAATTGGAGCGAGTATCATTTGGCTCACGTTCACTTGGGATGGGGTGCGTTAGTCGACTAATGAGCGAACTCCATCTTGCCTTGAAAGGTGTCGCAACCATAGTTGTTGGGACCTGCGAAGATACCTTGGCATATACTTAAAGCAAATATCAAATTCAGTAACATCAAACAACTCATGATCCTTGACCTGGCGAGGGACACATAGGCTTCAACATGATGTGCCTGAGAAGTTATTTCGGAGCTGCATTTTTTTCCCCTACACAATAAAGAGCTTACAGGAGACGGAAAATCCTCAAATCTAGTCACTTTGAAATATCTAAAATTTCTTTCTGTGCACCGATACAATGTGTCATTTTATGGGCCGTTACGGGTAGTCACTTGTCCCTGCTATAGCCGTTAGGGGACTACTACAACGCACTCTCACAATCAGAGGTATTTACTAAATAAATATCACTATTTATTAGGACTGCTGAAACCCACATACATATCGTCGTCACGAGAAAATATGTCGCCCCTGGACTTTGCTACTCACCCACAGAAGAGTAGGCATGATACGAACACCCTGGTGCTTGGGAAATTCTTGCCACGCGCGTTGGTATAAGATGTGTCACGTGCGACAATCCTGATTTTTTTTTGTAATTTAAAAGACACAATATAGATGTACACTCTTCGGTCCTTAGTGTATGCCATTCTGTATATGTAAACTTGTTTGTAAAATTAAAGAAGAGAAGGCACTTCCCTTAGCGCACTTGCAGCAACGAAACGATTTCACCAATTTGATGGTAGACAACTTGCAATCGGAGAGACGACAATCATTGTTTGACACGGTAAATATAAAATCATAGATGCCCTGGTTGCGATGCACATATCTTTAATGCACATAAAGGTTCGAATAGAATTGATCCAGAGTTGACTGTCAGCTGATAGCCTCTCAACTCTCCTTTAAAATTGAAGCGCGACTCGGGTGATGAGCCGTCTTCCTATTAGTAAAGCTTGGCGCATCCAAATACTTATCAAAGTACTCGAGAAGCAGTTGCATCGCCTTCGCCTGATTTAGGACGACACAAACGATGGCCACTGGATGCTCCTGGTCCCACCAAAAATCGTACAACATACCGCCTAGACAGTGTTCCGTGCCAAATATATATGAGCGAATCATGTGACCAGCCAAAATTCAACGAAATTGGATCGATATGAACTTTAGTTTTAGAAATGACAATACACATGTAGTCCTAAAGTTTAGATGATAAAAAAGTGATAGATATTCATCTCTACACTTATGAGTGTTCCTTTTTCAAATTACGAAAATGTGTGCAGGTGCGTCCAATTGATGAAAGTTCGCAACTGATATTCAGTTATATATATATATATATATATATATATAAGCATATTGTATAGATACACACGTATCTATAAAAATCTATATCGATACAGCTACAATTTGTTGCGGCACTAGGCGAAGTTCTTAATCAAAGCACATTCGAATATACGTATGCACATACTTCTTCAGATTCGTTTATAACCTGCTGCTTTTACACACTAAAGTAGAGATATGAATTGGAGGTTATATCATAAATCAGTGATAAACAACCGGATGTTGTAGGCCAGTATTGCAAATTTAATTATCCAAGATGTTTCTTCGGCGCACGCACCGGCTCTTTAGCTTGATTTACTGAGCTGCTGCAACAGGCGTCTCCTCTTTCTTGCCTCCTCGAGTGAGCAGGACAAAGGCTCCAACGTACACAACGGCCATACCAATGACGACCTTTGATAAAGAAATGATAAGGAGGAGAAGCATTGATATTAAGACCAGATAGCTGTATGAGTACACGCAACACGTTAAATCGTAACTTCCACCTGCATTGCTGAGCACAGGGTTTTAACCAAGACATGAGTACGACTAGCTACCCTGGCAGATACAATAATGATCGAACAGAAAACTACAGCAAGCAAGCAAGCTTCCTGATGTAGGCATCCACGAGCATAAAACATATCATTCATAGTGCCAACACATCATCCACAGTATCACATGCGTTCCACAATACCAAGAGATCAGCACATATATTTCACAATACCAAAGTAACAGCACCTGCATTTCACAATACCGAGATATCAGCACCTGCATTTTACGATACCAACACCAGCATTCCACAGTACTAACATATCATTCACAGAATCAATTTATCAACACCAGCATTCCACAGTACTAACATATCATTCACAGAATCAATTTATCAACACCAGCATTCCACAGTACTAACATATCATTCACAGAATCAATTTATCAACACCAGCATTTCACAGTACTACCATATCATTCACAGAATCAATATATCAGCACCTGCATTCCACAGTACTAACATATCAGTACATACATTTCGTCGGCCATAGGTGGTTAGCGCATTGAAGTGGGGGTTGGTTCCAGGGGGGATGGGAAGGTCAGCCATATTTATTCTGTACATGAGAAAAACATTCGCACAATCAGTGGGGTGTGGCATAAAGCAGATCTTTACTTTAATACTGGATACATCGTAAATACACTTGAGGTGAAATATATACAGAACGTGGAAGCTGGGCCAAATACGCTGTTTGCTGTTTTACAAAGCATTCATGCTCAGTTGAGCGATATGAAAAAGTACAGGTAGTTTATAATTTGTAGAAGCAGTAGTTGTCACATTCACAAAACCTACCAACATGCAAGACAAGTGAGTTCCATAGATGTTAAATTAAAAGCGGACTCTCTATGGAGCAACATACAAGCTCAAGACCAGCAAAACGAATCCAAAATCTTGCCCGTACAATACAGAGTATCGCGACCAGACACAAATTACATAAAATTTAGCAGACGGGTACATATACGTATACGCCAGCAGCAGCTGAAAGCTGTAAACTTGCTTAGTACTCGCTAGGTACAAAAAGACCTGCAAAATAGTGCTACTCATGTGGTCAAGAAGTAGGGAGATTTTGGTCACGCGTTAAAGTCGTTATGCATATACAGATAACACGCGAAATGGAGACACGCATGTATATACAACACGCGAAATGGGTGAACACCCGCTACAGTGCAAGTCCACTGACAGACCGATACCCCGACTTATTAGTGCAAGAGAAGGTGGTTGGTATATACAATACTACTATAGATACCCTCATATTAGCGAGTGCCAACCAAGGATACAGCTTAGTTTGGCGAAGGGCTCAATAAACTTGTGTGAGCCAATTCAACCAACACATACCAAGGGTAATTGTAAGTTCGTATATGGTGATGTTCTGCCAGATAATTTTGCATGCAGCCTTACTTGTATGCCCCGATTTATTTATATAATACCGAACTTTAGTAAAAAAACTCTCCCGAAAAACTTATCAAATATGTATGTTTCGGAGGCCCGTTTACAGTTTGCTCTATATAACTTACAAGGGGCCAAGTGTTTTTTTATAATGTTATGGGCCAGGGCCTCCGGCCCAAGGTGGGCAAAGGCACCCAAAAACCAAGTTAAGGACTGGGTGCGACTGGCTAGCAGGTGTACATTCTATTTTTGGAACGTGCAAGTTTCAACGACCCCTCCGTTGTGAACTTATTTTGTGAGTGATCACCCTGATCAGTCATCAGTGAACTCTCACAGTCTCTCAGTCTCCAGTGAGTTGTCCAGTCCCAGGACCCAGACTCCCAGGACCACTTGCCAGCCCTCATTTTTATACTGTTTTACATATTGTGTTTGTCTTTTTATTAATAAAAACAAACAAACCAAAAGCAAAAAAAAAGATTAAATAAGAGATCTTGCAGCAGTCTTCAAATATCACGCAAGAGAGAAGTACATAGAGACTTTGTATATTAAACACTCTAAATAGTCAGGTAGGATGAAGACCTGCTTTCAGACCAAACACAGAGGTATTTCTGTATTAATAAATACAGATGAACTACATCTAAAGAGTTTAGTTCATTTATTTTTATTCTTAAAATGTAGCTAATCCTCCACGTCCGAGTCGTCGCTTCCCATTATGGCGTGCTGAAGCCTATATTGGTTGTCGTCGTCACTGTCGGCGCTGCCATTTTCAACCATATTCTCCAATGGGAACGCATCAAACACTACATCATCCCCGCCGTCATGGTCACTGTCTCCTAGCAAGCCCTGCTTGTCCCGACCCGTTTCATGGATCTGGTCGGCGTTAGGTCTGAGGATAACGAGATAAAACCGGGTTTGTATAGAAATTAAAATCAAAATCGTAGAAATTTGTCTTTGATTGAACCAGGACTGCCGTCGCGACCGAGTTAACTGAATGTAGCTTGCACATATAGAACTATCCCAGTCATACTGAAACGTGCATATTCTGAAATTTGTGTATTCAACACATCCTTTCCCCGCCAGCGACCAGCCTCTACAAAGTTTGTATGTTTGTTCGGGAAAGGGTAAACACTTAACGCTTTGGATTTATATATGTTGTAATAGTCACCTAATATCAAGCACCTCTGAAGTCAGAGACATCAATTTCTTGGTTGGCTAGCAGACTGTCCATACCACGACATTTGTGGTAGGCAAACAGTAGCACAACTGAACTCTACTTCGCGATTCGGTGGGCCTTAGCAGAATTAGCGTGGACTACTATACACCACAATAACCAGTCATAACTGGACCTTTTTTCTCAAACAATATAGATTATAAACACAAAACCGTCCGAACAATATAGATTATAAACACAAAACCGTCCGTAAATCGATATACTCTTATTCGGTTCACCAAGCTAATACCCAAGGCATGCAATCGCCTGCTGGTAGATCAAGGCATGCAACCGCCTGCTGGTAGATAGCTTGTGACATGGATGATTGTTTCATACACTTACCTACAACAGCACCACCTCACGAGCTTGAAAAGAACGAAGATAACTAGGATGAGAGCGATAGCACACACACAGTACACCGCTAACTCCACCGGGAATTCCTTCTCGTCCGCTTCAGCTTTAAAGTCTAACGTCACGTTGTAAACCACTTGCCCCGACACGGATTCGGTGAGAGATTGCTCCGGTACATCGATCTGCAAGTATAATAGCAGGAAGGGTGTGAGTGAGTGAGTGAGTGAGTGAGTGAGGGTGTATGTGTACACGAGTGTGGGTGTGTTCGCGAATATTAGTGTGCTTATATATGATTTTGTTCAGGTACAAGCAATATATTGCACGCTTTTGCTTGCGTGATTGACAGACATACGGTGACTAGTCGACTATTCTCACCGTCGGGCTCGTGGCGTACCCCTGTGTGGATACAAAATGAGCGCCTGCTTGAACTATAAGCAAACAACAACCAAACTAAACCAAAGTCTGTCAGTACAGGTACGGCTTATATACTATCAACACCCCAGACACAAAACCCACAAAGGTATGAGACACGAACACATACCGTACGCCTGACTTTCGCATCCTCCATTGAAAATTCGATCTCGTACGTGCCGGGCGTCAAGAGCCAGAAGTAATCTCCCAGAGGACCAGAGGTGGTGACTCTGTCAATACCAACAATACGCACCTCAGCGCCTCTGAGGAGACACAGGGATGGATGGATGAATTGTGAGACAAGCAGAGGATATTGTTCTGGGACACACGGTCGGTGATTTACTGGTCGTATGGATACATGTATTTATATATATATATATATACAGACACAGACACAGACACAGACATACATATATATATATATAAGCGCGTTGTCGCAGCGCTACTGAGTCCTGGGGACAAGGGGACTCGTGTCGAATAGGTTACAGTTTTGTGATATCTCCGTAGTAGCAAGCTGGTTAACCACTTCTACTACGGGGATATCACAATATATATATATAATAATAATAATAATAATAATACATATACACGTACACAATACATATACACAATATCGATATACATGTACAATGTATCGACCGGATCCCAAGTACTGTTGTGAATGAGGTCATCAACTAATGGGCATACGAGTGAACTGTGTACTGCTAAAGCACAGCAATGTCAGTCAGCATACACCTGGAGATGCCAATAAAGCTACTTCGATTACAACGCACACTCATGCCAAGTAACCCCCCCGCCAAATAGCATCGCCTTAGCATCTGCTGTGTAAACCAGAGGGGGTAGATAGTACATTTACCAATTCCCACTGGCAGGAATAAGGCAATACACACTGACCGTCACTGATTGCGAACTAATAAATTGAGACTTGCTATGACTTACTCTAGTGGCGTCATGCCGTCGTCGTACGTGACAATGCCTTTGACACCCATGTGCACGTGCTTGAGGTACATAAGCATAGCTCTACGATTGTTATTCCATTCCGTCTCAATCACCCTGCAGTGTAGATGAGCGCAGTTTCAGCATACCTACCCACACAGCACCTACCCACAGCGTGTGAGTGAGTGAGTGAGGAAAACAGAGTACACACATCACAATCCAATGCGAGCGAGCGGACAAACACGCACGCAATAGTGTTTCCTTGAGCAGTACAGTCCATGTCTGGAGATGAGCTGTGGGGCTTAGCGCGCCGACTGCATTCACTGGACTGTGCGAATAGAGTGTGAGTGTGTGTGCACGCGTCCAAAAAACAAAGGGACAGAGGCACACACATACGAAGCATCGGGCCATTTCGTGCAGGTCAGCTCGATGGTCACTTCCATCACACCGGCTTCCAGGTAGTTCCAATCACCCATGCCACCTGTGAGAGGGTACCTGCAAAACGTAGACGGAGTATAAGACGAGCCCTGTTAGCAGTGGAGGTTGGTAAGGCATGCGTGCTCGTAAACGCATTGGATGATACATCCGTGGGCGGAAGCTGTGACTACGAACATAGAAGCATGTATGCTGGCAATAGTGAAATGCACACGTGGTTAGTCGTATGCGTGCTTGATAATGTACACAAAGTCGTGTAACGGTACAGATGTTGAGTATATCCTGTGTCTTGGCCGATCGGATTGCGGCGCCCACTGTGTGAACGATCAGAGCTGTAGGGGAGATACGTATGTACTGAGCTATTATCAGAGCTGTTGGGGAGATAATGTACTGAGCTATTATCAGAGCTGTAGGGGAGGTACGTATGTACTGAGCTATTATCAGAGCTGTAGGGGAGGTACGTATGTACTGAGCTATTATCAGAGCTGTAGGGGAGATACATATGTATTGAGTTTTTTTGCAGCGGCTCACACAGAAGTACGCGCGGCCGATCTCGAAGGACTTACGTGGTTCAATGCGGATAAAGCAACTGTCAAGCGAAGCGCTATTGCGAAGACATGGGACATAGCAGACGACATGCCTGTACAGAGATTGACAACCACAGGCTAATCAAACAAAAACAACAAAATGAAAACCAAAATAGGAATCAATTGTTAGGATGATAACTATAATATACATGAATGGAAACTATGTCTACCAGTGATTGGCATTGTAGGTTTCTCTGTCCCAAGTAGGGTTTTGGGGTTTAATTGTCAGTACAACAGGTACAATATATAGTACATTTGGATCAAAACTAAGCTAACCAGTGATTGCCATTGTAGTTATCTCTGTCCTAAGTGGGGTTTAGGGGTTTAATTGTCCGAAAAACAAACTACAATATAAAGTACATTTGGATGAAAACCAACCTTACCAGTGATTGCCATTGTAAGTTCCTCGGTCCCAGGTGGGGTCTTGGTCGTAGCAGACCACATTCGTATACATCGTCTGATGGTTGTCCGCATACACATGTGCCAGATACTCGAATGTCTTGTTGTCCGGTGACACATTGGCGCCTGAGCTTTGGATTCCGTCTGACTTGCGGTTGCAGTTCATCCCCGCTGTGCAATAGAGAGCACAAGTGAGACCCTCTGGCGCCAACAAACACCATGTGTGTGTGATGGGCATTACGGTGGGCGTGTGGCTACATTCACCCCACAGCAAACAAACACTTTGTGCGTGTGATGGACATTACGGCGTGTGTGTGGCTACATTCACCCCACAGCAAACAAACACTATGTGCGTGTGATGGGCATTACGTTGGGTATGTGGCTACATTCACCCCACAGCAAACAAACCCTCTGGCGCCAACAAATACTATGTGCGTGTGATGGGCATTACGTTGGGTGTGTGGCTACATTCACCCCACAGCAAACAAACCCTCTGGCGCCAACAAATACTATGTGCGTGTGATGAGCATTACGGTGGGTGTGTGGCTACATTCACCCCACAGCAAACAAACGATGTTGGTTCCCTACGGATATGGTCTTTGCATTTGGGAGGGGGAAGGGGGGGGGCATTTGGGGTGGGTCGTACACGGGTCGTATGAATGGTCCAATGGGTACGTTGGTGGCCTTTACGGAAGGGCCTACTACGTATGAATACTGGCTTGCAACGTGTACTTAGACATCATGGGGGTATCTTTGCTAAACATATGTAGCAGTATGTGCAAGGGAGGGTCTGAACACCGCCCGCGCTCGACGATACACCCATTTAGTTCCTTACCCTAAATAGAAATAGACAACCCTAAAGCCAAACACACATGGTGCCGGCTCCACAGCCCAACTACTTGAAATCGGGTGCACAACTTCACAGCGACCAATGGTCCAAAGAAAACTGCTATGAAATGGACTGAAGCGTGATTATATATATATATATATATATCCAATATGCCGCTCGCTATTAGGTGGTGATAGCTCGTCCCTTTACTATACAGAAGCTCGGGTGTATACGATGGTATATGTGGTGCTTCACGACAGACTCGCACTAGCAAATACAACAGAGCACATGTCACAGAAAACACAACAGCCAGCACAAGACAACAGCACATCACACTCACAGTGACAGGCAGACAGGCGCCGGTGCATACGACAAGCGCAAGCCAGGGAATACGACAGACAGTAAGTGTCAGCACACCTCATGGGTACAAACACACGTTGATACTAAACCCTAAACCCTAAAGGCTTGAAGACATACGGCTATCGTCGTATGGATAGAAGACTGCCACGGCTCCACCATGAAAACTTATAGAGAGCAAAAAGCGGTGATCCAGGATGAAGTCCATCATACTCGCCACCTCGGGTTGCGCTGCATGGATTTGCAACATTGTCAAATATGGGTTACTAGACAACCACAGAAGCGAACCCGTACACGCGTGAACATACCGGTCCATTTACTTTCTCCAGCCAGACCATCCAATGTTCGGTACTGGCGTGTAATCCATTATGTACAAAAGTACTATAAATATGTAGCAGTATGTTTAACTCAGTGGTACTATAAATATATAACAGTGTGCGGAAGTGTATCGTGCTTCGTTCGGCTACATCAGTCAAAACGAGTACTCCCTATTGCTATGGCTACGCCAACAACTGTACAGCTGTCAGAAACAGAGTTCTACACACCACAGCACAGCTACACCCGTGCCAACTCTGCTTTCTGTTCACAAACGACAGGTAGGTGAAGCCAAACTAACCAACATACCCACATACCTACTCCACATATACTTACTCTACTCAAGCAATGGACTGGGCACCTGTGGGATGAGTCTCCCACGACACGTCAAATGGAGATGGCTACAGTGACGTTTGGTGGCCACTCTACGCGCTGCACACCTATGACTACGCCAACAACTCACACCAGCAGCCGAATATAAACACAGGCATTAAAACTCTAAAACCCTAAAACATACATTACGTAGCCCCACACATTAAGCTGGTTGCACACAGCCGGATATCACCCACACACCCACACATACACGGCTGGACTTATAGTGGCAAGCTCACACACTGGTCTGCGCCTCACACCTTTGTCAGCCCCACAGTATTGGTCGGGGAAGTTGCGGTTCAGGTCCACTCCGTGACCATTGGCTCTGCGGTGGGCGGCATAGCCATCGGGGTTCATAGCCGGTATCAAGAAGATGCGTGTGGTGTCGATTAATCTACACGGTCAGATGGAGGTAGTGTGAGTTCTTATGCGAGACACGTGCATAGGAATGTACAGTCATCTGCACAATCACATCAACTTATTATGAGGTTTCATCTGTTACATACATGTGCATAGGAATGTACAGTCATACAATCACATCAACTTATTATGAGTTTTTATCTGTTACATACATGTGCATAGGAATGTACTGTCATCTGCACAATCACATCAACTGATTATGAGTGTTCATCTGTTACATGTGTCTAGAAATATACGGATGCCACAGGGTCCGAATAACACAGTGGTTGTGATTCGTGATACATGTCCAATGATAGTCCAAAAGAGGTGCCGGTGGGTTCGCATTGGTAGATACAGACAGCAAGACGATTATATTATCGACTCTTGCGTGACAACTTGCCCCACAACCACAGCTAAGGCATTCAGATTCTCCATCCGTACTATAGAACGTTCTACTAAAGCCCATTTAGCACACCTTATTATTCAGATTCTCCATCCGTACCATGGAACGTTCTACTAAAGCCAAACAAGCACACCTTATTATTCAGATTCTATATCCGTACCATGGAACGTTTTACTAAAGCCCAACAAGCACACCTTATTATTCAGATTCTATATCCGTACCATAGAACGCTCCACCATAGCCCAACAAGCACACCTTCACATCATTTGCACATGTCACCATGCTACACTGTACCGGTCTCGTCGTCCGTGCCGTAGTTGGTCAACAAGCGGCGCGCCATACTCAGCGTCGCCACCCGCCTCACAATAGGAGCTTGACTAGTCACAAACTTCTAGGTCTATACGTCCTACCTCCCAATACTACCCAGCACCCACACCCACACACCGAGTGCACACCCCACGACACCACAACGTACCTGGTGATCTCATCGTCCTGGCCGTAGTTAGTCAGCAGATGATGGATCATGCTCAGCGTCACCTCCCGCCCCACCACCTCATCGCCGTGAATGTTAGCGACGTACTTGAACTGCGGCTTCAGCGCCTCATCTACTCCGGGATTCTTGCTGATCTCCAGGGCGTACACGTTGGTATTCTTTGCACTGGTGCCGATGACAGACAGCTACAGGCACGTGCATGGGTGGTTATAAGAAATATGATATATATAAACACATCACACTGGTGCTAATGACAGACAGCGACAAGCACATGTATGGGTGTTAATAAGACATAGAATGTATATAAACACACCACACTGGTGCTAACAACAGACAGCTGCAGGCACGTACATGGGTGTTAATAAGAAATATAAAATATATAAACACATCACAATGGTGTTAACAACAGACAGCTGCAGGCACGTGCATGGGTATTAATAAGAAATATAACATATAAACACAACGCACCGGTGCTAATAACAGACAGCTGCAGGCACGTGCATGGGTGTTAATAGAAAATATAATATATATAAACACATCACACTGGTGCTAACAGACAGCTGCAGGCACGTGCATGGGTGTTAAAAAGAAATATAATATATATAAACACATCGCACTGGTGCTAATAACAGACAGCTGAAGGCACGTTCATGGGTGGTAATAAGACATATAGTATATATAAACACATCACACTGGTGCTAATAACAGACAGCCGCAGGCACGGACATGGGTGTTAATATGAAATATAATATATATATATAAACAAATCACACTGGTGCTAATAACAAACAGCTGTAGGCACGTGCATGGGTGGTAATAAGAAATACAATATATATAAACACATCGCACTGGTGCTAATAACAGACAGCTGCAGGCACGTGCATGGGTGTTAATAAGAAATATAACATATATAAACAATTCACACTGGTGCTAATAACAGACAGCTGTAGGCACGTGCATGGGTGGTAATAAGAAATACAAAATATAGAAACACATCGCACTGGTGCTAATAACAGACAGCTGCAGGCACGTGCATGGGTGTTAATAAGAAATTTAATATATATAAACACATCACACTGGTGCTAATAACAGACAGCTGCCGGCACGTGCATGGGTGGTAATAAGAAATATAATATATATAAACACATCGCGCTGGTGCTAATAACAGACAGCTGTAGGCACGTGCATGGGCGGTGTGAGTAGGTGCGCTGCTTTAGTAGTGGACGCTACATGTGTGGGTGTGATATTGGGTGGCGTTGATATCACAACGGGTAGGACTATCCTAAGCTGAGGTCAGTTGAGGAGCGTATATCGCCTATCCGATACCCCGTGCCTTGAAGTTGCATCTCCCGTCCCTTTGACTGGGACAGTCACCCGTACCCGTGTCTGGTGCCCTCTACAACATACCCGTGTGATGTCTGGGTACAGCAGCGAGCAATTGACCAGATACTCTTCTACGATGTCGTTTCCGTGGTGTTTGTACTCCCATTTCTGCATGTGCACATTTGGGGCGGCCGTGACGCTGACGGTGCTGGTTGGCTCCTCCTCCTCTTCCACGATGCTGTGTGTAACCAAAAAGGAAAGGCGAATAAAACGAGGGTTTGAATCAGGTGACTATTTTATGCGACTCACAGAAGCAATTGCTCATGTCCTGGATGTGTGTGTTGTTCTATTCTGTACACATGCGAGTAGGTCTGTTCAGCCCCCCCCTCCCTCCCCACACCCATGCGCACCTAAGGAGTTTGTGGTAAATTGTTGACTAGTGGTTTGAGTGGAAAACCTGAGCTGAACTAAGGAAATATCTATAGGTCGTGATCGCACGGATAAGTATACAGCTCTGTCGTAGGAGTGGGCAATCAACAAAGGTATATATATATATATATATATATTACACACACACACACACACCACTATATATATATATATATATACACTTCTACACACACACACACATACACACACACACACACATATATATATATATATATCATGATAGAGACATATAACTGAGCAGACCAGAGAATGTCGTTCTTATCGGTTAAATGTTATTCTCTTTGAGAGCAAGTGTCATTCAAGAGAGAAGTAGTCGGCCACGAAACGAACTGCACAAACATGCGAACACCACACTTTAGCAGAACTATACGTTATTCAAGGTTTCAAGAAAAAAATTTAGTGGGCAGCCATATGTAAAAATACTTGGTTTGGTAGTGGGCATGAAACAACATTTACTGAAAGACCTTTAGGAAACTTTAAAGCACATTCCGAATGCTCGCCCCATCCACCATTTTGCAAACTTCTACTTAACACGTCCACGGTAGGTATGATGGGAAATCAAAGCGGAGTACATACTTAAATAACGGTACACTTCACCAGAGCGCACCTGTTCAGTACAACATCTCTATTTGTTCAACACAACGTCTCTACAGCACAAACATACTCTGCATCAGAAGTCCTTGTGAGTTCAAAGCTGATCTCCAAGGCGCCCGAGTCGGGCACGGTCACATCCCTCTGAACAATTGGAACAAATCCATCTGCAAGCACTGACATGTTGTAGGTCTACATGCGGATATGAGGAAACAGATCATTGCGCACATGTGCACATACAACGGAGATGACAGGGGATGGGTGGCAACCCCAGAGAAGCGATACACTACTGCAGAACTGGACGCTTGGATGTAGAGAGAGAGGGAGAGAGGAGGAGGAGGAGACCTTTGCACACACATGCGAACAGTGGGAACTCAACAGAGTCATAGTGGTAACCCCAATAGAGCGGTTACATATCACTGATCCGCGTGCGCATAGATGTGCGGGGATTGCTGTATACACGAATGCGAATTAAACGGATCCAAATGAGGCGCAAGAATAACCTCAGCTGAGCAACTTGTGTCATAGGCCTGCGTGTGTAGGTGGAAGGAGAGGTCCTTATCACGCGTATGCTAATGAAAGCAGAGGCGTGACAACTTCAGTAACACGCGTGACACCACATGTGACACATGTGGCACGTGGGCTTCATGAACTTCTGTGCTTTCGCAAGTGACAACTCTCATGTACGCACACATCAAAGAGATCTGCGTCCCGAACACTGAGCATAGGATTACAGGCAGACACTGGCACAGCCCAATCCATAGACTAAACCTTTGCGATTGCTTGCGCTCGATAGGCAAAGTATTCAATACACTTCCGTACCACCAAATACGGCACTACCAAATATAGTAGGCGGCCGTCCATCCATCTTAGGCGAGAAACACACCACCGCACGCACAGGCACTCGGCCGAGACCAGGGGTACCGAACTATCTGGTAACACGCCCATTGCCAGTCAGCGAAGCAGCCGAGTGATACGAACCCAACACACACCACACTGCACACACCCTTCCCGGCACAAGCAGGCGCCAATAATTGCCCAGCGGCGATGTGGTCACGTTGTGGTCAATGCCTTCGACTGCGATGATGGCGCCCTCGATGTAACGGCCTGTCTTCTTCTCACTGACCAGTCCTGTGTGCACACGCGGAAGATGCAACAGATACGATAGTGAGCGCTTGCTAGGGCTCGTGCAGGTGGTTGGAGGCAACTAGGGCACGGCATAGGTAATAGACTACTATGGCGAGTGGCTTGACGACATTCAGGAGACAAAAAGGGCAGTTCATTCGCAGGACACAAGCAACGGTGCCAGTATCCCATGTACAATATAGCGTCAGATAGGAAGCAAGATAGGATGCAACTTCGATGAATCAACATACACTCTCGCCACCAGCCACACAATTAACAACAACTAACAACAAACAAGCCTCACCAAACAACAACGACAAAGACGCTGTACAGCGCACGACTAACAACAAAGAAGCCCCACCAAACAACAACGACAAAGACGCTGTACAGCGCACGACTAACAACAAAGAAACCCCACTAAACAACAACGACAAAGACGCTGTACAGCGCACGACTAACAACAAACAAGCCCCACCAAACAACAACGACAAAGACGCTGTACAGCGCACGACTAACAACAAAGAAACCCCACTAAACAACAACGACAAAGACGCTGTACAGCGCACGACTAACAACAAACAAGCCCCACCAAACAACACGGACA